TTATTTTCGCGTCACCCTCTCACACAATGAAAGAAATCTGAACATATCAGAATTTTTCATGTTGGCGCAAATTATTTAGTAATGTACAATCAACCACGATCAATCTCTAAAGATCAAATCTAATTTAATTAACATTACCTTAAATCGCTCAATCACATCAATTAGAAAACAAATAAATGATTTTAAGAAAAATCGCTCAATCACATTAACTAGGAAACAAATAACCGATTTTAAGAAAATTAATGTGTAAATCATAACAAATAAATCTCATCAGGAACGAGGCTATCGGGTGAGACCCATTCCGATGGACGACATGTGGCACTCCGGAGATGTAAATTTGCACCGCGAGGTGTTGTAATTTACATCTCGTGGAGGCGGAAATGTATTTATTTATTTTTGCATATAGACCGTCTGTTGGAGAGATATTTTTTGCCTCAGAAGATTCAAAAGTTGGTTATTTTTACATATGGACCGTCTATTGAAGATGCTATTAGTCCTGAAAATATTACACTGAAAAAATATTATTTTGTGTATAGTCGAACACTTAAAAAACTGATTGAGAGAATTTGAGAGGATGGAGAAGATGAGGGCACAATAGGGAAATGGATGGAGAGAGAGAGAGAGAGAGAAAGAAGAGTGTTGGAGATGAGAGACAGAGTGAGAAAGAGGATCTTTACATCAAAAAAGGTCGACAATGATGCATAAGCATAATTAATATGAGGGTAAAGTATATATTATACACAACTAATGTTGAACTATTGTTATATACAAAGAGCCCGTAGCAACGCACGGGCATTCTACTAGTATACATGATGATGAGTTTTATCAGATCAACTCGCCAGGACTAAGCCATAAACCGTGACACTAATGCTAAGTTGGACACAAACAAGGTTTCTCTATTTCCTTCTCAACGAATGATATTGTTACTTGGACGTCAATCCAACACATGGATGCACGAGACAATCTACATTCTACTTACATTGTTGTTGTTGTCGTCATGGCCTCATGGGCAAATCAAGACACAGCAGTGAAGATATAGCTAGGGGTGACACTGACAGGTTGAAAGACAAACCAACACGACCCATCGGCTCATGGGCTTGATGGCAGCATGTTGTTCTAAGAAACTTCCACAGAACATACATAGTATTAAATCACGGTGGCAAATAGAAAAAATCAAGAATACTTCAATAACGTACCCCCTTCGACAAATAATACTCCCTCCATTCGGAATTACTTGTCTTAAAAGTGGATGTATCTAGATGTATTTTAGTTCTAAATACATCTATTTCTGAGACAAGTAATTCCGAACGGAGGGAGTATATCAGTGTAGTGCGAAAAAACGTTTTAAATTATGGGACGGAGAAAGTAGATGGTAAGGAGTACCATATATTTTTACAGGAGGCAAACTTTTTTTTGTTAGTGCAAGATATTCCGCATGCATGCAAATGCTATATACCACACCTGCTCACACGCTAGGCTCTAGCAATAGTGTCGTTTACACCCGGCGGCTGCTAGGCGTAAGCCGGCTGATCTTAGAAAAGATCAGCCCCTGCGCAGCCGTCTGATTTAGACGTAGGTGGCCGTTAGATCGTAGGCTCCCAACAACGCTTCTTCCTCTTCTTCCTTCGTATTCTTCTCTCGCAGTGCTCAGTTGTTGGAAGCAGCAGCCCCCTCCTCAACACGCAATGAAGTGCTGCTGTTTGCCGGAGTCTCGTCTGGTCACAGCAACCCCGCCATCGGTCACAGACGCAACACTGGCCGGCTGGCCGCCCGGCGATGCTCCAACGCAGCACCGGAGCCTCGACAAATACTTCATCGCAGCACCGGCGAATCCGAGGATGCTTCGTCGCAGCTCCGGTGCCTCGGCAATGTTTCATCGCAGCACCGGCGCCTTGACAATGCTTCATCGCAGCACCGGTGAACCCGACGACGCTTCGTCGCAGCTCCGGCGCCTCAGATATGTTTCATCGCAGCACCGGCGAACCCGGCGATGCTTCGTCGCAGCTCCGGCGCCTCGGCAATACTTCATCGGAGCACCGACGAACCCGACGATGCTTTGTCGCTGCTCCGGCGCCTCGGCAATGCTTCATCGCAGCATCAGCAAACCCGACGATGCTTCGTCGCTGCACCGGCTCCTCGGCAACACGCGGCGGCGACGGCGGCGGATGCTGCTACGCAGCACACGGCGACAACGACGGATCCAGCGACAGCACGCGGCGGCGACGGCGGCGGATGCTGCTACGCAGCACGCGGCGACAACGACGGATCCAGCGACAGCACGCGGCGGCGCATGCTGCGATGCAGCGGCGGCGACAGCGGATGCAACGACAGCACGCGGTAACGATGGCGGATGTAGCAACAACACGCGGCGGCCATGGCTGCAACGGCAGCAACAACACGATGCAGCGACGGCAAAAGCTTGCTACGATGCAGCGGCGGCGACGGCGCATGCTGCGATGCAGCGAGGACGATGGATGCAACGGCAGCACGCGGCGCTGGCGATGGCGCGGTTCCAACGGCGGATGCTGCGTTGGAGCATCGTGCGTGGCAGTGCTGGTGGGTGCGGATGGGAAGCAGCAATCGCTGCCATGCACCTAGAGAAAGAGCAGAGCAGTTTGAGAAGACGAGCGGCTCACATGCTCGCATCGAAGGATAAGGTTGAGGCGGCTTGGATGGGTCCATGGGACAGAGAAGCGTGTGTACCGCATGATGAGCTCAATCGGATGGCTTGGGACGCGACTTACGCAACGCAAAGATCAGTCGGTTTACATAAAGAGTTTTCCTTTACATCCTCAACACGCCACTGTTACCGTGTGTTGTGGTTGATCTGGACTATCGAACCGACGGTTTTATCTGGTCATTCGTCCGAGAGCGTCTCTGCATCCCTGCGGTCAGACTCCGTGACAGCCTCTAAACTGTTGCACGCCCTTGGCGCAGTCACGCTCAAACTTCACCTCCACCGCCTCACCTCGTGTCGTTCCCGCCGGGAACAAACGGAACCAATCAGGCACTGTTTGATAGCAAAGTATTTTCTAAATATTTTGAGAATATTACAGTTTTTGAGATTACCACGGTTTTATTTATAATAAGCTGTTTGGTTGCCCCTAACAATTGTGCTTTTAATATTATAGTATTGGGCAAACTGCAGTTTTTTCTCTGCACCCAAACCTCTTTTTTAAAAATAGAGCTGCTGAGTGCTTAAACATAACAGCTAAACAACAAAATTTACAGCGTTATGGGCAACAACCAAACAGGTCCTATGTATTCTGAATACTGCAAAATACTCTGTTTTGATAAAACTATGGTATCTCACACCTATAAGCAAAATTACTGTAGTTTTTGATACTTTGATTTATATAATACTTTGCTATCAAACAGCCTCAACCAGCTCTACTCCACGTCTTCACGTACAGTAGGAGGCAGGAACGAGTTGTGGCTTGTTCCATCAACCCCATGCTTGAACCCAAAGCACACGTCTCCCTCGCATCAGCTGGACCGGACGCAGCTCGTGAACCTGCTCGACCCTTCGCAATCAAAGACCTCAGTACCGAAACGGTGACAACGGCACGTCGGTGGCTCGTTACGCCGATAGCATTGCTTTGACGCCTCGAAGTAAAATTTTGTTTTATTTGATGATTGCGGCATGGCATGTCTTCTTTCTTGTAGTCGTCAGTCGTCGTTAACCTAGTTGTAAACTTTTAGGGCACATCTAGATGTGCAATACCACATCTAAGTGAGTGAATCAAGTGTAAAGAAGAAGAAAATAAGAAGAAAAATAATACCCACACGAATCTCGACGTAAGATCAATGACACAGGACTTAGATGTGCAATACTTATGGCGCACACACACATAGATGTGCTTTGGCAAAACTGATTTTTATTACCTCTGGTGTTATTTGTACTGCGATAGTCGAAGATGTATAGATTGGAAGTTTCTTAGACAAAGAGTTGTTTTGTAATTTCGGTGTTTTTCTACATATTATTGCTCAAAGAAAAAAAACAGGCACACGACGTTTCACCCTCTTACGCGTGGGCCCGCCCTCGATCGACAGGGACGGTACGAGTGGTGACACATCCAGCCTCCGATCCGACGCCAACGAGCTGGCTGGCTGTACGCTAACGAAACACCATCCGATGATTGCGGTGGCAAACAAGGCACGCGCTCGATGGATCCAAGGGGAGAAGAGGCTCCTCTTGCCCGGTGCCCAGCCCGCAGCAGTGCCACCGGAAAAGAAGATACGATGCGCTGCACAGCGCAGAAGGTTCATGCATGCACTGCAGTGCAGAGTTGCATGCCAACATGGTAGGGCTGGTGCAGGCCGGTCCGGTCCACCGCAACCAACAGATTGTTCGGTGAGCAGAGCCGCGTCCATGATGATGATCCTGGACAGCTAAACCCAATCATGCAACGCAGGCCCGTTGCTTTCAGCGTCCATCCCATGGATCTCATCATCAAAAGGTGAAAAAGGAAGCTCTAGTTAGTAGACTAGACAGTACCCAAACCCAGAATCAAAGGAGAAAAGTGTAAGGGAAGCCGGAGCCACATCCACAGGCCACAGCAATGCTCCTTCCTCATCACACAATCATGCCAAGCACCACCCAAAACCAGCCTCACATTTCACATAAAACTATTGGGATTTATACAGCGGAAAAGCCCACTGAGGCCAGCCAAAATTTTAAAAAATGTCCTCTCTTTTCTTTTTTTGTGTTCATTCATCCATCCTATAGAGCTGGCGCTGGCCTGTTCCACGTTAATTAATTCATGGACCCCGGAAGCTCTCTCGCAAAGCCATGATTTCTGCCACGAAACACACCTCATGGGGGGGTGGGCGGCTCACCAACCGTCTCGCCCTCCAAAGAAACCTTACAAGGCAGGGTTGCGGCATGATCCGCCGTCCGAATTCCGATGGCGATATGCCGAACCCAACCTACCCAAGGGGGAGCTCCTTCTCCTCCTGAGATGACAGAGCCCAGCTTCTCAACTTCTCGCCTGACTATGCTAGCTAGCTAGTCGGCAAACTTCCCTCTTCACTCGCTGTTGTTGCTGTCGGTGGTGTGCAAACTTTCTTTTTCTGATTGTTGGTATCTCCATCTTGACGCGTTGTCGCTGACAAACACGATCGCGGGCCTCGGCGCTTATCTGTAAGCAACAACAATCAATCAGGCCAGAATGTGGTCGCGTTAGGCGGGAAAGTTTGGTGAAAATTTAAGCATTGTATACAAAGAGAATGTGGAGTGCATAGCTTCCTTTCGGAAAGTGTTGGTATACTGTCTATCCATTGAGCATGGAATTAATGAACTTGTGAAAGTTGCACTAAACTAATCCTCTTATGGTCTAAACAAAGAAACAATGATTGTACCATACTCCATGTGCAATACAATATTTAGCAGACAATAAGCAAAAGTGCGCGCTTCTTTACCTTTATTAATCCGTGTAAGGATGCAGATAGTGGGGCGAGATTTCTCCAGAGTTGTTCCTTGCACGCTGCTCGATCCTTCTGAGGTCCCGGAGATGCTGCAAGATCTCCTGAAGAAGAACAAAACCCTTGCCTCCTCTGTTCAAGGACCTCACGCACTGCTTTATGAACTCCTTGTCGGCCTCGAGAGCTTGCAAGCGCTCATGGACTTGATCGATCTCACTGGCAATCGCCAGCTTATCTTGCTCCTTGGCAAGTTCCAGCATGACTTCTGCTGAAGGATCTGCGACGGTAACTTGCTTTGTTAGGATGCCACTCCCATTTCTCATGGTAGTATCATCAAACAGAGGGAGGAGCTTCTTTCCTCCATTGCTTACGCCTTTTCTACTATCATGAAGTTTGAAGGTGACGTCCTCATCAGAGAAACCATTTGAGGCACCGTTTGAATGGTTATCTTCTGTGAAATGCTTGTCCATCTTCAAGTTATCAGATTCTTCATCTTCGAGGTCGAAAAGCCTCTCCTCTAGCACTTTCAGCTGATCCAATATGGAAAGCCTCTCTTCCTCACAGTCAGCTAGCGAGCCATCAAGTGTAACAATATGACTAGCAGTTTCATGTAAAACAACATCAGTGGGACTACTGCCATTGCTTCCATTCAGACCATGGGCAGACTCATCGCCCTCATAGAAACTTTGGGAAAGGTCATCACTGTCCTCAGCACTTGATGAAGCTGAGGATGATCCATTCTGGTCATCGGCCTTGTGCCTGGACATTTTCCTCCTCTCCTTCGCCTCATAGAGATGAATCTTGTGGCGATACAGTTCGAGCTCCCTCTCCATATCTTGCCTCTCCTTATCTCTCTTTACAACTAGATCATTCAGCCTCTGCAGTGCTTCTTGATCATACTCCGACTGCTCTTCCATAAGTCGCTGGTACTGCATCGCCTCCATCTGCATTGCAGCTTTCTGTTCTTGCAAGCGATTTATCATTGCCATGGTCTCATCAGCAGCTATAGCTGCTGCACTCCTCTCATTTTCAAGCTCTGCATATAGCGTACTCAATGACTTGTGGGCAGCTCCCAAAGCAGACTTGAGTTGATCAACACTCACCAGTTCAACGCTTTCCAGATCAGTGAACATATTAGCCACACTTGAATCAACAGACCTCGTATCAGCAGTCACTGCTTTAGGGTCTGGTAATTCCTGTAAATAACTGATATCTTCAATATCAGTTGGTGTATCAGAAACTCTCTTATCTTCAACATCACTGCAGTCAGAAGATGATTTGCCTGAACTTATTGAATGCCCATCAGAAAGTTGGTGCAAGCTTGGTAGAAGATCCTCAGTTGGATCAACTTCAATATCATCTGTTCAAAATAATAAGAATTGTTTCAAAAATTGCCAATCATATTAAACAAGTCAACCAAAATGCAGTAAACAGGTAGAAACAAACTCTTATAGTCTTAATATTTTACCTTCGCCTGCTGCCATAAAAGTGGATAAATGGTTCAGCTGAGGCTGTTCAACATGGTTTTCAATGTTCTCACTTGAAATCTCAGTAATTTGTTCCCAAGAATCAAGTGCCGCGGAGTCCAATTCTTGTTTCAACTCGGCCAGTGATATTTTCTCCTCTTCACATTCTTCATCGACATGCTCCCTGGGATGTATCATTACCGAATCCAATTCCTGACTCAGCTCAGCTTGTTGAACCTGGTTCTCCTCAGTGTTCTCGTTCGAAACCTCTGCGTCATGTGGCCCACCTTCCATTGGCATAGCGTCACACTCATCCTTTATGCCAGCTTGTTGAACCAGCACCTCTTCAGTATTTCCATCAGATTTGTCAACAACTAATCCATGCTCCATGGTATCAGATGGCATGGAAAACAATTCATGTTCCACAGTGCCCTGTTCAACTTGCTCATCCTCTGATGATGACATCTCTTTCAATCCATTATTCATCTGAGGAGCTGCGTGTAAAATTTAAAATCAATATGTTTTTCTCTTATTAATGTTAAATAAGCAAAACTATCAGCACTTAAAATTGTTGACAACTAAAAGGACCTTAGTTGACAAGAATCGCTTCTATTTAGTTAAGAGGTCCATTTCATGCTATCAAGGACGCTTCCGTTTTTTCTTTAGTTCCATCAAAGGTTCATCAATACAGATGCTAAAATCTAGCATATCTCATGGAATGGATCAGCTAGAAGCCTAAAATAAGAAGTCTAGATAGGAACACTTAAAGACCATCTCCAGAATAGTCACACAATAATTTGCAAGAAATAATACTGTCTACTCTACTTCAGTAAAATGACTTACATAACAAACAGATATACGGTAAATAAACGTGCAGTGGAGCAATTGAAAAGATAGGTAATTACTATAGCGAGATCATGTATAAATTGGATATAAAGAACTTATAAGGTTATTCTTCCAGTTATTCTTGCAATTAGCAAGAGCATGTGTATAAGAGGTCCATTTCATGCTATCAAGGACACTTCCAGTTATTCTTTAGTTCATTAAAGGTTCATCAATACAGATGCTAAAAATCTAGCATATCACATGGGATGGATCAGCTAAAATAAGAAATCTAGGTAGGAAGATCATCTCCAGAATAGTCACAAAACAATTTGCAAGAAACAATACTGTCTATTCTACTTTACTAAAATGACTTACATAACAAGTCTAGGTAAGAACACTCAAAGATCATATCTAGAATAGTCAGGAAACAATTGGCAAGAAATAGTACTGTCTATTCTACTCCACTGAAACCACTGGCATAACAAACAGATATGCACTGCACATGGCTGGCACAGTAAATAAATGTGCAATTGAAAAGATATGTCATTACTATAGCAAGAGCATGGATAAATTCATAAATTTATAATGAAAAATAATTACTTACAGTGCTGAGCATCAGAGGCCACCAAAAATTTCTCCTCGGTGGCATTAACCTTCCTCTCCGGCACCACATAGTCCTGCTCCACGGCCACATGATCAACTGCTCCCTCCCCTTCACCACTGGGGTGAGATGACAGCTCAGGCACACCGACGGCCAAGGAGTCGATGGATTCAAGCGGCACCAGTCGCTCAACGCTGCCGGCAATGCCAGCGCGGTGAGCTGAAATGACACCGATGGAATCATCCTCCACCAATGGCTTCTCGTCGAAGAGCTCGATCACAGGGCCGTCCTCGGACACGAAGACCACGTCTCCGTGGCCGTCCTGGTCGCAGCCGCGGCCCGGGTCGTGAGCCGCGGCCGACGGCGTGGGGAGCAGGAAGGGCGGCGAGTAGAAGCCGCTCTCGAGCGCGACGCCGCAGCAGGCGCAGGCGAGGTCCCGCTCGCCGAGCTCGCTCCGCCTCATCCACGACAGCAGCGCCTTCCCGGACGGCGCCGCCGCGCCGCAGTCCTCGCACATGTCGGCGGCGTCGGCGAGGCGGCGGTGCGCGCGGCAGTAGCCGAGGCGCGACACCTCGGCGGCGTGCCCGTCGCAGAGCACGCGGCGCAGGGGCTCGGCGCCGGGGCGAGACGCGTCGAAGAGGCTGTCGACGGCGAGGCGGGAGCAGAGCGCGCAGGGCGGCGGCAGGCCGAAGAAGGCGGCGAAGCGGGCGATGAGGTAGGAGAAGACGCCGTTGGCGAGGAGCAGCGCGATGAGGATCCACTCGAGGAGCGCGCGGGCGAGCAGCCGCGCGGCCCGGCCGCTCCTCCCGCACACGCCCGACGCCACGGCCGGCTCCGAGGCCATCGAATCTCCCCGCGGCTCTGTCTCCCGGCGACCGGAGGGAATGCAACCGATCGATAGACGGACACGCCGGCCCCGCCGCCAGAACTCGCCGTGGAACCGAAGAAAGCACAACAAAAATTCCTCTTTGACTGGAAAAAGTATCGGGAAACAGGGCAATGCGATTTCTGGTGGAACGACCGACCGACCAACCAACCGAACCACTCTCACGAAGAAGACGAAGAGGAATGAGGAGCCGGTTTCATGGAGGAAAAGAACAAGAACGGAAAAGAACAAAAGAGAACAACTCCCCAGCAGATTGCGGCGGGAACGGGAATCCGGGCGGGGCGGCGAGCGAGGGTGGCCAAGAACGAACGCCGGGGCGGAATCTGTCGACACGGAGGATGGCGACAGCCGACAGGATCGCGAGCGCCGGTTCTCAGAGGAAGAGGGAGGAGGGGTCTAGGAGGGGGGCGGAGGAGGAGGGAGGAGGAGTTTGGTGGAGAGGACGGACGGGCCGGAGGCGGAGGAGACGAGCGGAATATCGAGGGGGAGACGAATAAAAAGGAAGGAGGAGAGGTGCTCGGCTGGGGTGAGTGGCGATGCTGGTAAATCCTCGCCATTAAGGCGTATAATGCCCGTAATTAATCAGTATAGCAAATGATCGGTGGTGAACGTTGGGGGCGACGACGCGCAGCGCTGCGCGAGCTCGTCTCCTCCTCTCCCGGTAGCGATGGCGGTGTCATCACTCCCTCTCTGGCCGCGTCGCGGGTTCGTGTGGCAGATGGATAGATCTCCGTGCAGATTTTCCGCTCTTGTTTGTAGAACGTGGCAGTGGTGGTAGATTCTGGCGGCTTTTCTCCGGAGGCGTCGCGGTCGGACGGCGAGACGGATGCCGCTGCTGGCCGTCAGTCGCGTCGGGCGCACGGCTGGCTCGTCTTCGTTTCAGACTCGCGACGGAGAATGGCACGGCGGGTTGGACCTGCTAGCACGGAGTAGTAGTTTATCTATGAATCTATCCCGTGGCCGAAGACGACCGGATCAGAGACATGTACTGCGACGATCTGGAGGGGGAAGAACGTGGTGGCACCTCTGGGATTCTTCTTGGCGTCTTTGACCTGCACTGGGTACTGCTACTAGTACTAGTACTAGTTTTTAAGCCAGCTCAAGCTCAAAGTGAAAAAAGAAATCTTCCATTTTGCTTTTCTTTTTCTTGTCCTGGATGCCAACGCCACTTGTTGGGGTGTGGACAGGTGAGGGTCGCCCCATCACCTGCTCTGGTACTGGGACGATTTAACATTTGAGAAAACTCCGACCGTGTGTATGCGTATGTCTGCCCAAACCTTGAGGTCCTCTTTGATTCGTAGGATTCTCAAACCTCTGGAATAGAAAAAAAGAAACGCAAGAATAGAGTGTCATGTCCTCTTGTATCGGGTAGGAATTCGAAACTATAGGGATTTTGATGCAAGAGTGTTTGATAGCACAGAAACACAAAAGAATTCTATCAAGAAGTTTGAATGGATGAAAAAAAAAATCCTTCGAGCATGTAGTATGAATGAATCCTACGAATTATATCAAGAAGTTTGAGGGTTTCAGTCCTGCGAATCAAACGACTACCGTAGAAACAAAATCATAACGGTCCAAATCCTCCAGAAATTATATGAAATTCCTTTGAACCAAAGGAGCCCTAATAGTGGACCTACATCTTGTTCGGAACACTGGGAATTTTTAGACAAGCCATTTGATTTTTATAGATTATTAGAAGCAAAATGCTACATCCGATCAAAGAGAAAAAACACAAGAGGTTATACCTCATACTAACACCAAAGGTCTTGAATACCTACATGAGTCGCCCGCCAAAAGAGGTGAAGAACTTGAACCGTTGACGCATTGTGGTTACCACCTGCTTGCACGGCAGGTCATCAAAACCATGCTTCATTGCCAAAAATGTGAGGGAGAAGACAATGGCGATTACCTTAGGACAAAGAAGGCGAAACCAAAACACCACTAGCTCCTTGACATCGGCTACAAAGGGTCAAAGGCCAGCCCAAGATGGGGACGAAGCCGATAGATGTTCATTTCAAATGACGTAGCCTCCACCGCCGATACTCCTATGCTATATACCAACCAAAGATTTAGCGCTCCCTGCCTCTTATCATCGAATACGTCGACGGGGATGGCGGTAAGTAGGTGAAACGATGACGAAGGACCTTGGTGGCTAGGATTTTGTCAATCGCAATAGTTGGTGCATGGAGCGCGGGAATTTACGTCGCGTGGAATTGATGCATTTATCAAGACAAGCGATTTGCCTATTTCGTCAAGTAAAAGAAAGAGCGGGGAATATTCAAAGCGTCCCTCCTCCCAACGCCCATAGAGCGCGGGAAAATATGCCACTTGGAATTAATGTGTCGTGTTATTTTACCAAGACTAGCGGTTTGCTTATTTAATCGACTAAAACCAAAGAGCTGGAAATATCAAAGCACCCCCCCCACCCACCTCGTCTGCTCGTGCGCACACACTCATATGGAGCGCGGGAATTTAGCTCGCGTGGCATTAATGCCATTGTACTTTCTTTGTCGACACTAATGATTTGTTTGTTTCAGC